TCCAGCTGTGTAGAAGAAGGTGGAGCAAGTGCTGGACACATCCCATTCAGCCACTAGCCGGCTTCCTATTACAGATGGAGGATCGTGTGTGCCAGTGTGTTTACCAGAGATGTACGGACCGATCCTCTGATCACAGACTACTGACCGGGTTCTGGGTTAATGTCATCACTTCCCATCATAGGGGGAGCCAACACTACACTGCTACATGGAATACTGTTATATATGTACGAAATGGTCATGTGTGTGGACAGGCTGTGAGACAATTGTGCAGAGTAAAGATACTATCATTCCCTCATCATTCCCTGTATCTGAGGAGAGGGGGACTCTGCATAGAAATTAAAAATTCATACAAGAGATCCATAGGCCACACAGAGAGAGTGCGCCCCTGGGTGGCAGTGCACCCTATGTGGCTGCCTAGTTTGCCTAGTGGAAGCACCGACCCTGGCTGATACCATAGGCAGGATTTACTACTGGAGCACACAGAACCATCTTCTTAGCGTTAATCTTTATCCACTTGGTTAAAGTGTTACTAAACCCACAACAGTAAAATCAGTCTGTATATGCAATATAGCATGCTTGTTACACTCACTGTGGAACCTAAGGGGTTTAATCGTCTGCATTGTGTAAAAAGGCCTTTTGATCCTGACTTCTCTGCTCCTCCTCTTGTTCAAATGTCCACATCGTATCTCCTGATAAGACAGACTGAACCATATCCATTCTGCACATGCTCAGTTTAGTGTGTATTGCTAGAGAGGTTTTTGTTTTCTTGGGAGCGTGCATATGATCAGCACAGGGCCAATCGGCACTGTCCAGACAGAGATCAGGGGTTTTGCAGCCTCATAGAGCAGAAAGAAAACTCCTCCTACAAGCTTTAAACAGTGCTCTGCTGAACACTGATAGAAGTCACAAGACTGCTGATGAGAAAAGGTATTTAGCAGTTTATATTTACTAAAATAATTGCACTTCCATGTTCTGTGTACTGTGGGAGATCAGATATAGTGAATGCAGGGTCCTGGGTTTAGTCACTTTAAGTGACAAATGTACCTCTTTAAAAAGTCCCCCCCATGACTTGTAAAGATTACATCCTCCATTGTTACTTCTGTCAACTTTTTGTTTCCACTAGTGCCAAAGGAATCAGCATCTTTGACTTTTTTGCCATGTGATTCCTCAAATTTATAATTTATATAGGACACAAGGGGCAGATTTACAGTTGCAAGAAAAAGTATGTGAACCCTTGGGATTATGTGGAGTTTTGCATGAATTGGGCATAAAATGTGCTCTGAACGTCATCTAAGTCACAACAATAGAATAACACAGTCTGCTGAACATAATGCTACACAAACATTAGATGTTGCCATGGTTTAATTGCACATAACATGTAAACATTCACAGTGCAGGGAGGAAAAAGTATGTGAACCTTTGGACTTAATAACTGGTTGACCCTCCTTTGGCAGCAATAACCTCAACCAAACGTTTCCTGTAGTTGCAGATCAGACTTGCACAACGATCTGGAGTAATTTTGGACCACTCCTCTTCACAAAACTGTTTCAGTGTAGCAATATTCTTGGGATGTCTGGTGTGAATCGCTCTCTTAAGGTCATGCCACAGCATTTCAATCAGGTTGAGGTCAGGACTCTGACTGGGCCACTCCAGAAGGCGTATTCTGTGCTGTTGCAGCCATTGTTTTGTTGAATTACTTGTATGCTTTGGGTCATTGTCCTGTTGCATCACCCATCCTCTGCGGAGCTTCAGTTGGCGGACAGATGGTCTTACGTTTTCCTGCAAAATGTCTTGATAAACTCTGGAATTAATTTTCCCATCAATGACAACAATCCGTCCAGGCCCTGAGGCAACAAAGCAGCCCCAAACCATGATGCTCCCTCCGCCATGTTTTTACAGTGGGGATGAGGTTTTGATGTTGGTGTGCTGTGCCTTTTTTTTCTCCACACATAGTGTTGTGTGTTCTTCCCAAACAACTCAATCTTGGTTTCATCTGTCCACAGTATATTTTGCCAGTAGTGCTGTGGAACATCCAGGTGCTCTTTTGCAAACTTCAAACGTGCTGCAATATTCTTTTTGGACAGCAATGGCTTCCTCCGTGGTGTCCTCCCATGTACTCCATTCTTGTTTAATGTTTTCTTTATTGTAGATGTGTCAACAAAAATGTTAGCATGTGCCAGAGATTTCTGTAGGTCTTTAGCTGACACTCTGGGATTCTTCTTTGCCTCATGCAGCATTCTGCGCTGTGCTCTTGCAGTCATTGTTACAGGACGACCACGCTAAGGGAGAGTAGCAACAGTGCTAAACTTTCTCCATTTGTAGACAGTCTGTCTTACCGTGGACACATGAACATCAAGGCTTTTGGAGATACTTTTGTAACCCTTTCCAGCTTCATGCAAGTCAACAATTCTTGATGGTAGGTCTTCTGAGAGCTCTTTTCTGCGAGGCATGGTTCACATCAGACAGTGCTTCTTGAAACCAGTAAACCCAAAACAGGTGTGTGTTTTTTAAGGGCAGGACAGCTGTCAGCAACACATCCAATATCATCACACTGATTGGAGTCAAGGTTGGCTCACTCCTGGCTCCAATTAGCTCTGGGAGAAGTCATTAAGCTAGGGCCTCACATACTTTTTCCTCCCTGCACTGTGAATGTTTACATGTTATGTGCAATTAAACCATGGCAACATCTAATGTTTGTGTAGTATTATGTTCAGCAGACTGTGTTCTTCTATTGTTGTGACTTAGATGACGTTCAGAGCACATTTTATGCCCAATTCATGCAAAATGCCACGTAATCCCAAGGGGTTCACATACTTTTTCTTGCAACTGTATTGTGCAACAACGAAAGCTAGAGTACAAATGGGGCAGTTATCCATAGATAATTGGAAATCCAATTGCATTGCGTAACAGCATAGCTTTGTTTCGGATTTTGTTGTTCATCTGTTTGCCAATAAGCCCTTCTATGTTGCCCAAAGCACATTGCCAACTCCAGACATTTTTTTTAATATTATACTGTAGGTCCTCAGCCAGTTAACAAACCTAAACAGCATCCCAGCCTGCAATACTTACAATCAATCCAGAGTTGTCCCCCGCAGTACTGCTTTTCCCCCACAAGATATCCTTAGTCTCCTAGGTTGAAGCATGTTAGGTGAATGACCTGGAAAACTAAAGACATACTGGGGTTGATTTCCTAAAACTAGAGAGTGCAAAATCTGCTGCAGCTCTGCATAAAAACCCATCAGCTTCCAGGTTTTATTGTCCAAGCAGGGTCGGACTGACCATTTGGAAACTCGGGCACTGACCGAGGGCCCGGGGTCAGTAGGGGGCCCCATGAGATGCCCCTGGTACCTTTTTCATAAGCTTTTTTGAGTTTGGGCAAGGACACAGGGGCCCTATGATCCCCTGTTGCCCGGGAGCCCCATGAGTTGTCAGTCCGCCCCTGTGTCCAAGCTTAATTGATCAAACTGAAGTTAGAAGCTGATTAGTTACTGTGCACAGTTTTACCAGATTCTGAGTGCTCCAATTTTAGTAAATCTCTCCCACTGTATTCATGCGGCACTGAAGACATCTTTCCCAGGACAGTGAATCTCTCAGGACCGGCATATTATACAAGCGTAGCATGGAAACCCCTCCTTGGGTGGAGGGATTTCACCATTGGGAGAGGCCAAGAATCTGGAGTTGTGCTTTAAAGCTGAAATCTGAGCAATAATTGTCTAAATCCCTGGTGCCCAACCTGAGGCCCATTGGTATATTTATTTATTATTTATTTATTTATCGAGTTTATATAGCGCCAAAGGGTTTGCTCAGCGCTGTACAATAGAGGGGGGACAATACATGAAACAGAACAGTAACATCAAACAGTACACAAGGGGTAAGAGGGCCCTACTCTTTCGAGCTTACAATCTAGGAGGGAGGGGGTAGAGGCACAGGAGGAAACGGCTGTGGGGGATGGAGTGGTAGGAGGAGGGAAGGGTGTTAGGTGAGGGTGGGGTAGGCTTCCCTGCAGAGGTGGGTTTTCAGGGAGCGCCTGAAGGTGAGGAGGGAAGGTGACAGTCTGATGGATTGGGGTAGTGAGTTCCAGAGGATGGGGGAGGACCTGGAGAAGTCTTGCAGTCGTGCGTGGGAGGAGGAGACCAGGGAGCAAGATAGAAGGAGGTCCTGTGAAGAGCGAAGGGTACGGGTAGGGTGGTACCTGGGAATCAGGTCGGTGAGGTAGTTAGGGGCATATGATGTGAGGCCCTTGGTGCTCAGCAATTTGTAGTGGGAACATTGATTAGGGTAATAGCATTGACCTCCACTAGCCTCATGTAACATGTTTCCAGTTTCGTAATGTCTTCTAATACATATCTCCAGCCAAAAATATAGCATGTCCACACTCTCTGACCCTCATTTCCTCTATTAGGTCTGCAGTTTCTGGCAGTCCTCTCAAGCATTACATATATTGAACATTATGTGCTGCCTTTTGGTGATGTTAGGTCCACATTTGAGGCCTCCTTTAGCTCATAAATTGACAACCAATGTTCTAAATACAAGGGAGATGTGTATTCTTACTTGAATATTTGGGTAATTTGTGTAATTCCTCCAGATCTGTGCAGTAATCCAGCATGAAACAGCTCCTGCACATTGCCTCTGTGCAGGAGCTTCCTGAAATAAAGGTCTCGTGTCTATCCCCTGTAATTATCTGCAGTCAACCTGTAGTGGAAAGACCTGCTGGGTCCCTCTTCCAGCTCTGCATAGGCTATGTGCAGCACAGTGATGATGTTACGGTTACTTTTACAAAGTAATAATTAGATTTGCAAAGCCATTTAGTACTCAATTATATTTTGGCTACTGAGGTTATATGTCAAAGAAAATATTTGTGCTTCTGCTTCCACTTTTAAAAGAGAAATTGCCTTGGTTTTAAGGGCAGCACCAAAGGTTTCTTTAAGGCATTGACACCTGAGGCCTGAAGTATTTTGATGCAAATATTTTACAGTTCTGATTACCAGTGGTAAACCAACATGCTTATTATGTCTTTTATGTTTGTTAAGTATGGAATAGTGCTGGATGCAGGATCCTCAAGAACAACAGTCTACGTTTACCAGTGGCCTGCAGAGAAAGAGAACAATACTGGAGTGGTGAGCCAGACTTACAAGTGCAATGTTAATGGTAAGGATGAAATGATGTTGTCATTGCTACATTTTCATAATTCACCATGGTGTAAAATATACCCTGAGCAATATATTGACCTTTATCCTACTGTTAATGGTAGCAAATTACATGGAATGAAATTCCAGCTAAATTAAATTAGCATAGACATAATTCAAAGAGAAATATAATTGCCATAAACTCAATCTCTTTGCCTCCGCAGGCTAAAAAAATCTAATTAATCTTACAGTATGAACATTAGTGCGCTGTATTTTTTTTTTTAAAGCTCCAGGAAGCAGCTGTCATTAATCCAAAGCTTCCCTCTTCCAATGTATACAGTCTTCCAGTGTTTCTTTTTGTTCTTACTTTGTCACTGGGTTTATTATTTTTATTAAGCCACAGTGATATAATCAAATCTTGAAGTGTTGGGTGGGAGGGATTCACTGAGGCTTCCCTGCATTTTCTTTGTGACGGTGTCTATAGGCTGGCCTCGGGTATGCGAGTGTGTCTAAGTCAGTGGTTCTCAACCTTGCTAATGCCGCGACCCTTTAATACAGTTCCTCATGTTGTGGTGACCCCCAACCATAAAATTATTTACCCAGTAATTATAATTCATGAAGTGTCGTTTTACCTCCAATACTGCTGCTTTCAACACAGTAGCTGCTTTCAACACAGTAGCTGCTTTCTACACAGTAGCTGCTTTCAACACAGTAGCTGCTTTCTACACAGTAGCTGCTCTTTACACATCGGAAATATGTGTTTTCCCAATGGTCTTAGGCGACCCCTGTGAAAGGGTCATTCGACCCCCAAAGGGGTCGCGACCCACAGGTTGAGAACCACTGGTCTAAGTGGTGATAAGGGAGCAGACAACTCCCCTGTCTTCCCCATACACAGTGATATCATAGTTGTTAAAACGCAGTGCACAAAGAATGAGCATTGTGCTCTTCTCCCTGCTTACCTATTATAATTGTGTTCTTAGTTCTATTGGCCACAGAGTAGTGTGAAGCAGCAACATGCGTCGCACAACGCAAGGCAGACAGATCGTACTGTATGACATACCTTTTCTCAGCATACACCACCACATTGTGAACTGACCTGAAAAGGAACATGATTGTTTGCTATGTTTGTGCATGGGGATATGCATTTACTATATATGCTTAGCCCCGCTTCACACTAGTGCATTTTCTCCTTTGTTTCCCGTTGCGATTGCATGCATAACAGTGTAAATCACATTATTCTCTATGGTGCTTGTTCACATCAATTTACTACAGCACAGTGCATTTTTTACAATAATAGAAAAAACCCTCAGCACAATCACCCTAAAACAGTGCAAACTAATAAAGAGAAAAATATTATTATTATTATTATACAGTATTTAGATAGCGCTAAAAGGTTTGCTCAGCGCTGTACATTATAGTGGGGGACAGAACATGAGACAATACAGTAACAAAACAGAACACGAGGGATTCAAGGGCCCTGCTCTTTCGAGCTTACAATCTAGGAGGGAGGGGATAGAGGTACCGGAGGAAGTGGCTGTGGGGAATGGAGTGGTGGGAGGAGTGGAGGAGATCGACTGTTAGGTGAGGGCGGGGTAGGCTTCCCTGAAGAGATGGGTTTTCAGGGTGCGCCTAAAGTTGAGGAGGGTAGGTGACAGTCTGATGGATTGGGGTAGTGAGTTCCAGAGGATGGGGGAAGTCCTGGAGAAGTCCTGCAGTCGGGCGTGGGAGGTGGAGACCAGGGAGCTAGAAAGTAGGAGGTCTTGTGAGGAGCGAAGATTACGGGTTCAGTGGTATTTGGGTATCAGGTCGGTGAGGTAGTTTGGGGCAGCATTATGAATGGCTTTGTATGTCTGTGTTAGTAGTTTGAATTTAATGCGTTGGGCAATGGGGAGGCAGTCGAGGGAATGACAGAGGGGGGTGGCAGAAGCGGAGCGGTTGGTAAGGTGGATAAGTCTGGCCGCTGAGTTCAGGATAGACTGAAGCTGGGATAGTCTGCGATGAGGTAGGCCGGTGAGAAGGGAGTTGCAGTAGTCCAGAGGTGAGATAATAAGGGAGTGAACGAGTAGTTTAGTAAAATATATACAAAGATATTTGACATGAAGTGTAATGCATGCAATAGAAATTCTGAAGGACCCTCTGCACACTGGTATATACCCTTTCAAGCAGACTATGCAATAAATAGGGATATTTAGTTCACACATATTGCAATCCATGCTTAAGCTGGCCAACTGCCTCAAAGTAATCCCTTTATGGCCAGTCCTACTCTGCTCTGCCTACGCAAATGCTACTGTGGACACAATGCTAGCATAGGGGAAAAGACACAATGGGGAGAGCTACAAGGTTCAGGTCTGGCTACTGACCCAACAATACAACAAACAAGAGATACCTGTGCTGAGCACAGGTATCTCTTGTTTGGTGTAATGCATGTAAAATGCATGTGCACATGTTTTTAGTGCGTTTTGTGTACCAAATCCAGTCTCCTTCTCCTACAAGAAAATGCCTAAAGCATAAAAATGCAATTAAAAAATGCATGTAAAGACATGCAAAAACACGCTAAAAAATGCACTGAAAAATGCATCATGCAGCAACACTAGTGTGAACTGGGGCTAGGAGCTGAGAGACAGAACTGCAGAAGAGCAGGAAGGGGTGGAAATAGCGAAGTGGGCAATGCGGCGCAGGGAGATAAGCTTTGTCTACTTTCTGAAAGGAAGCTCTCCCCTTAATAGATGATTTTGGTTGCAGGCAAGAAAATGTCTTGATTCCCTTATGAACACATTTATTGTTGATATGGGAATCCCACCCATGGAGCTATTGTATTCTACCAGTGGGGGGATCTGGGGGGGGGGTGTCATTACTGCTAGCATATTACAGTGATTATTGCTAGTGGCTATAGCAGCCAGCAATTATCACATGAAAAATCTGACAAGTCATACAACAACTGAATTGGGTACAATCAGCCTGCCAATAAATGGTTTGAATCTTGGCCGGTCCCTGCTAAACCAGCCAAAATTCAAACCATCTATGGCCAGCTTTAGCGCATACAGTGCTGATAAGATGGTGTCAGCAATGCTTTAAAACCAAAAAAATACATAGAAGGCATTAAGGGGACCGCTCACTGATTATAGGGAGGTGGCTGGGCATTTGCTCATGTCTGTGTTCCAAGTCTGCATTAAAATGGAATGTAGCGCTACCCCCACAGGAGCCCCTGGTAAACTTGGGTTCTCTGCTCTTGTCCAGCCCAATGTGAGGCCTCACTGACAACGCCTGTATACCTTTCTATAAACCTCAGCAAGAACACAAGAATTAAACTCACAAATCTATAAAAGAATAACAGACTGTATTGGCAGGTTAAGGTCATAAAAGTATCACATAGTATATTGGCAAGTTAAAGTCAACCAACATGAACACAATAATGAATGCACTATTAGCTTCACTGAGTCCCTTACAGGAGCTTCAGATTTTAGCATATACTGTGACCCCAAGAGCATAAACAGTAAACATTGTAAATCAACTATGCCACTTGAGAGCTCTCAAAGGGGCTAGGTTTAGGCCTGAGAGATATAGATTTAAAAATTAACACAAATCTGCCCTCAGGATAAAGTGATCTGAATATAGACTTTGAGGTGAATCGTCTGCTGGCTATATTGGGTCCCTTTGGAGACATTGGCACGCAGGAAAATAAGGGTATGTCCATAGACTGGGTGTTCAGATATTGCACCTGAGAAGTTGGGTTGGCAAGGGAGGGGAATCCTTAGATGCAGATAAGTACATTAGACAGAGGTTAACCCAGTTGCAGCAGTTAAATGTCAGGAGGTGCACAGTTGTTGCAGTAAGATGTTAGGGTGTACACAGTTGCAGAGCTCTGGGGAGCAGAACATTTAGCTGCATTGGGCCTAGCCTAGCAATAGAATGAGCAGGTAACACAACAATGGGTGCAGGGTTTATATCCGCAGCTTTTTACAAGTTAGAACTGCCAGCATTAAAAATTATTCACCTTAACAGTGGCTCTGTGACCCGCTCACCACTCTCTCTGTAATTCTCTCTGGCAGTTGGTTAGATGAATGGGGGGGGGCTTGCTTGTAGTTGTCATTGATGGCCTTTTCTTGCAGTTGTCACTGATGGCAGACAAGATGGCAAGTACCTTGATCGTTCACCCCTGCAGTGGTAGCCTGGATCACAGACTGGCATTGCAAATTAGACACCAGAGCAGCTGGTGGCACAGCAGACTCAGCTTGGTCCAACCACCTGGTTCAGGATACAGCATCCTCCAGTGAAATCCAGCACAGCATGGCTCGGCACAGAGCAGCACTCCTTCTCCCATCCTCTCTCTGGTTGGTGCTCTCCTCAACTGCCCCTGCCCTTCCAGGGATTTTTCTTTAATCAGACCCCTCATGGTCTCCCTGGGTATTGTAGTTAATTTTTCAGTGATGGCCATGGCTCAAATCTTCCACACTACATCTCCCAGAGTGTCACAGGCTAAAGTCAGTCAGAAGCTAAATAAAGCACACTTGCTACTGCCATTTTGTGAAAGAAAAGAGTTCTGCAGCCAGTAACTTTACCTTCTGTTACAGGAATTTTAATCAGAAAATTAAGTCTTGATAGATTTCTTCATGTTGGTTCAGTTTGCAGTTATAGCTATGTTTAACATTAAAAAGATGTGACTATACTGTTTAAAATCCAGTAAGGGACTGTCTCACCCTACTCTACACAACCTCAGTTGTCCTGTATTCTCGACACTGTGCCAGTAATCAGTGTGTCACTAGAGCATGATCACTGTTAGGAATTCCCCCTTTCCTGGAATCCTTATATTCTTATTTCTTATATGCCGCACGGCGTCTGGGTGTGGCACGGGCTCGATCGATCGGGCAATCAAAGTAACCAAGCAGACAGGTAGGATACAGGAAGATTGCAAAGTTTATTACGTACATTACAGTTTATAAAGGCAAAAACCACAAACCCAAATTATCCAATAGTAAGACAGAACCCCAAAAGTATCCAATAGTAAAATAAGACCTAACTTATCCAATAGCAATGCGTACCTGTTATTTTTCTACCTAAACACCAGATAATGTTCACCTTAACTTACACTGTTAAACTGTTAACCTCAGTCAGTACATCCTGCCATTTTGGCTGTGTTCCCAGACTTCTTATCTGAACATTTATCTATGTGCTACAATGTTTTTGCAGACACCTGCAGTCTAGGCGTTCTTTCCTGTTACTCTGCGGTTGTATGTGTGATATACAGACACATATTAAAACTTTCCATAGCTCAAACATAATGCTGATAAGTCTTACAACGTTTACCTAAGACATAATAATTTCATCAACTTAAAACATCACTCTAACTCTTATCACAATGCAAGCATAATGAATACAAAATGGTATACCTGAAGCATTAGCCCTAGCTCATTTTTCCCCACAATCCCCCCTTTGAGCATATTGAACCTTTGTTCAACATGATCACTCAGAATACCACACCTCCTCTCTGGATTGTCCAAACAAAGCAAGTCTGGAGCCGCCTGTCGGAGAGGTGGAGTCTGGGCTCTTGTGCTTAACTGCCAGTTTCATAGTCTTACCCACCCCCCATATAGCAAATTTTATCATACAGTACATAGAGATAAGAAACACTATAATCATTTTCCCCACAATCACCTGACAGCCTAAATATTTACTGCTGCTGAGAGGGGAGAAAGCAACTGGAATGACACAGACTGCGCTGAGAAAGAGCAGATTAGGGAGAGAGAAAAGAAAAGCAGAAGAGGTGACAGGACACATTCTGTTACACAGTAAAGTTAAACTTACAAGGATTTTGTTTGCTTTCGGCTGACAGTACTGTGAACTTCAGCACTATAAAGCTTTGTCAGCCTTCCTCTCTAGGTGAGCCAAGACATACAATCAAGGCTGGAAACACACACATTGTATTACAAAAAGTGACATATTATTTTTGAGACCAAAGGGAAGCAGGGGAGTTTATAATAAGGAAGTGACTGCTCTGGGCTTCAGTAAGATGGAGGCCTGCAGCATGAAGAAACAGGAGCAATACAGTATTCTGACTGATAAGTAAAGCTTTGCTGATCTTCTTGTAGCCATCACCTTTTTTGTTTAAAGAAATGATTTTATTTCTCAGACCTTGTGACATTTCTCTTCCATGTGGTGCCATTACTGACAGCATGAAATGGGAAGTGTTTTCTTTGTTAAGTAAAGCCCTTTTATAATCATCTGTCTGCTGGACATCTGTTTAATAAATAATTAGACCCACCTGTAGTTGAATTCTTGTTATTTAAGACTTTCATGGGGGTGTATTCATTTTTGCAACATAGTCTTGAATTAGTTTGTTAGGAAAAATATTTTTTGTGTGTGCAAATTAACAAATCTTGTTTGCAATCAATGGCTTGCATTTGTGGGAATATTTTGTAGTATAGTGTCCCCACACAAAATGTTGATTCTGAAAGGAAAGTAAAGGTTTGCTAGCAAATCTGTTTGGGTGTACTCATTTATGCTGAACACTGTAGTCTACAAACAATGGTATATACAATGGATTTTTTTATTTATTTATACTAGTAATGGCGTTCATCAGCAACCTTTAGTGGGACTGTGATAGTGCAGCGGACAATCTGACACTAACGGACACTTTGTGGGAACTTACTAACTGACACTGACATCACCAGTGACACTAATACAGTGAGGAGAGCTAATAATATACACTGTCACTTTATAATGACACTAGTTCGGAAGGGGTTAACATTTAGTGGCAATCAAAGGGTTAACTATGTGCCTTACAATGTTTACTTTGTGTACTGTGTGCGTTTTTACTAAGCAATGTTCAGGTTTTTACTCTCTGTTTTGCAGGGGGATAAATGGCACATCGTTGCTGTCTGTAGAGATCCCTTTGTTGTTTACCAACACAGAGCTCTTTTCTGTCATTTGCTCCACCCATCAGCGGGTCCGGGCCATAAATCATTGACTGGGACCCGCTGATCAACTTGTGTTGTGGTAAATAACAGCACAGCTGGGGCGGTGGGTGCACGCACCCCTTACCCGGAACTGCCAGATCATGGACATGTATGTGATTTTGTGCAGGAGAGCCTCTGGCCCACAGTGTATCTGCATGGGCCAGTCGGCAAGTGGTAAATGTGGTATTCCCCCCTGAAAACAAAAATTGTATATATTACAGCTTATCAAATCTCAAATGTGGTGGCTGCATTTGTTTTCTTTTTTTTCACTACCTTTTTACCTTTCTTTTCACCTGGAGATCCGACCAGTAATACAATTCCTGTCTGGAGACATGTTTGAACAGCACCATTGTAAATCTAGGGAGAAGGTAGTGTTAAATGCACTAGCAGATTTAGATGGATTTGACTAAAAAATTAAAGCTGAATTCCAGATAACACTTTTCAAGCAGTTACAGCAGTTGTTTTTTTCCATTTGGGGATAAAAGTTTTAAATAAATGAGTAAAAGTAAGCACCCCTTTCAGTATTAGGTAGTTTTTCTCAACCCTCTAATAGACACTTTGCTGGACAGCTTGGTCTTTTTAAGAAAGTTAAAAAAAAGACTTACTGGTCCTGATCACCATGTTAAAATAAAGGAAAAAAAGGCCTTAAAAAAAACTATTGCAGCCGCCACACCCAAAAATTGGTAAGCTGCAATATAATCAATTTTTGTTTTGGGGTTTAATAGCACTTTAACTTTTTACATATTCTTAACAAACAGTAAGCACGGTATAAAACAAGCTCTCACTAACCTCTCTAGCAGCTTGCAAGATGAAGTAATTAAACCTCAAGGATACTCAAAGATCTATACAAATTCTGTAAAGTTGGATTTCAGTTGGTTTCTAACAGCTTAGAAACATATTTGCTGTTTACAGGCAAGACAAGATCTACTCCTAGAAAGAAATTTAAGATTTCAGTGTGAACTTAAAAAAATTAATTTCTTCACAATGCCTATAGATGCATTGATGAATGAGGGCTTGCATTAAAGTGCCTTTACGTTTATATATAAAATATATAAACACTTGAACACTACATGATCTAGGCCAGCAATGGGCAAACTACTGCCCGCGGGCCGTATACGGCCCAACGGACCTTTTAATCCGGCCCGCGGAGCTAGGCTCCTCTCACAGTCCTCCCTGAAGACCGGTGTAGCATGAAAATCTGTCTCCTATGAGGATCTGTCCCCCTCGACGTATCTGCGCATGTGCCGGAGATCGCCGATTGGCTGCTAATGCCTGAAACTGGCACATGCGCAGATACGTCGAGGGGGACAGATCCTCATAGGAGACAGATTTTCATGCTACACCGGAACGGCGAGAGGAACGCGCGGAGCAAAGGTAAGTGAATTGACACAGGGGGGACTTGGGGACTTAATATGGGGGATGAATTACTATAGGGGGGATGAATTACTATGGGGGATGAATTACTATATGGGGGATGAATTACTATATGGGGGGAATTACTATGGGGGATGAATTACTATATGGGGGATGAATTACTATGGGGGATGAATTACTATATGGGGGATGAATTACTATATGGGGGATGAATTACTATATGGGGGATGAATTACTATGGGGGATGAATTACTATATGGGGGATGAATTAATTACTATGGGGGATGAATTACTATATGGGGGATGAATTACTATAGGGGGGATTAATTACTATAGGGGGGATGAATTACTATATGGGGGATATTACTATAGGGGGATGAATTACTATGGGGGAATGTATTACTATGGGGGATGAATTTACTATATGGGGGATGAATTACTATGGGGGAAGAATTACTATATGGAGGATTAATTACTATGCTTACTATGGGGGAATATTACTATACTTACTATGGATGACACATACACATCATTCATCTACTCTTGGTCCGGCCCCCGGGTCCAATATATGAACCCATTGCGGCCCTCAAGTCAAAAAGTTTGCCCACCCCTGATCTAGGCACATGTTGTCTTTAAGTAGCCATGCATGGCTTAAAGACAGGTTATATGTGACAGTTCCCTTTAAAGGTACATTAGAATCATAAAGGAAAAAAATACCATACTAAGATTATAATTTGAATTCTGCTATGTCTTCAGGCCTTGGCATCTCCAGTTATGCTGCTGAACCTGAAAAGGCTGCTGAGAATATAGATAATTGTATGAAGAAAATAATAGATGTAATACCACATAATCAGCAAAACAGCACTCCAGCATATTTGGGAGCCACTGCTGGAATGAGGCTTCTCAGGTGAGTGATTCATTAGATTTAAAGAGATGACATTCCATAAATGACACCGCAGTAATATCAAACATGCCAATTCACAGTTTCAATACATTTGTTTTTACATTCATAGTATATCAACATAAAATACTAGCTCTTACTTTTTGTTTATGGCTGCCATTGCAAATCAATCTTTCTAGTTTCTTTTTGTCTCTTGTAAACCACTTAGGTTAAAAAATGAAAGCGCTGCCCAAGGAGTCCTTACCAGTATTGAGAACTACTTTCAAACCCAACCTTTTGATTTTAGAGGAGCTCACATCATAACGGGTCAGGAGGAAGGCGTGTATGGATGGATCACAGTCAACTACTTATTGGGAAATTTCTTGGAGGTGTGCGAAAAGAAAGTGCATGCTTTCTATACCTTGATGTTTAACATCACATTAGCTTATTTTAGTATACAAATGTAACAAATGTAAAAATTTTAATAATGCAATAAAGCCTGAGTGAAATCAAAATCAAAAACACAAAAATCAGACAGTCAGTAGGATCTGTCCCTTGTGCTGATTCTCTTCTGTAAGTTAAACTCCTCCTCCATCAATATTGCCACCACCACCTTGTTAGAAATCAGTAGCAGAGATGGCCAGATCTGCACGACTACACTCAGGAAACTGGGACCAGACTGTGTATGCTTAAAATTAGATTTATTTACAGTGAAACAAAAGCCACCCAAACACTTGGCAAATAGCAAATTAGAAATTATAAGTGACAATGACAGAATATCTGATACATAACTAACAAACAGTAGCCTAACAATTAACTATATACAATATATACAAAATGAGGGACACAGAAAAGTCAGGGAAAACTGGAGGTGCAGGGAGCAGATGGAAAAGGGAACAGAAACTGGGATCAGGAACAACTGAGAGCAGGTACAAAGCAGCAGGATACAGTTTACAGTGTACAGGGCAGGAGCAAGGACAGGATAATGGATAGTGGTATCTAGCAGCAAGCAAAGTTCAAAACATTGGTGTGAGAGTCACTAGTAAAGGAAAAGCGAAATACCCTCCCAGCAGCCATCACCAGATGGAGACTGATTATAGGGATCTGCTGGCTGCTGGGAGACACCTGCTGGTGGACATCAGAACTACAACCTCCCACTCTGGGAATCACAGTGCCACAAGCAGGCATTCCAGGTCTTGACACACCATCTGACAGCGTGGCAGGGGTTAATAGAACTGTAAGAGCTCTCACAGACTCTTATCAAGGGTGCCCAACTATACCCACACTTTTCACCCAGATCTGTCATTCATAGAAACCAGTACTACAGCTTCTATGCTTGAAAAGTGATCTCTAAATAGGACAAGTTGATGGTTGAAAGGACCTCCCCACTCCATTTATAGACTGCTTTTTATTCCTAGAAGCTTTATCACCAACTTCTATCAATGGAAGAGCTGGGTGGAAAAGGTGGGCATAGTTGGAAACTTTTGATGAGAACCTGTGCCTGCCCCTGCAGTTCTATTAGCCCCCACAGTATAGGAAGATTACAGCAGTGTGGGAGGGGGGCATTGATGGAGGAAGATTTCACCTAACAGAAAAGGCATCATCACAAGGAGCAAAAGCTACTGACTGATTTTTTTGTGTTTTTTTTTTTTCAACTGTACTTAAGCTTTAATGGTGTGCAGGGTATTTCATTTGTAAACAGATGTTACATTTAGGCACATGTAAATGCAAAAATGAATATAAAAACATATTTAGTACATCTCCACAATATATACACATTTCTCCATGCTTTATTCCTTTAACTGCTTGCTATCTGCCGTATAGCAGAAATACTACTACAGGGCGGCTCGGGTATATATATATATATGTGTGTGTATGTGATTTTGAAGTTCTGGGTAGGGAACGTGCATGATCTACACGCGCGCCCTAACCGAGCCGCCATTCGCGGTTTCAGCTGTCAATCACCGGGTCCTGGCTGGTAATTACTCGCCGGAACCTTGTGATCAACGAGTATTACTTACAGGGGGGAGAAAACTGTATGTAAACAATACCGTTCTCTCCGCTGTCAGCTCCTGCACACTGCTTTGTATGGCTCTGCATAGCAGAGCCATACAGAGCAGTGTGCTTACAGTGAAGCACACACAGCACATAATGTGAAACAGTACACAATTAACCCTTTGATTTCCCCAGATGTTAACCCCTTCCTGCCCAGTGCCATTAGTACAGTGTCAGTGCTTTTTATTATCACTGATGACTGTATTGGAGTTACTGGTGATGTCAGTGACAAAAAGTCAGTTCCCCCCAGTGTCAGAATGCCAGCCACAGTCCTGCTATAAGTCGCTGATTGCCGCCATTACTAGTTTAAAAAAAAAAATTTCCAGTATACATACCACCATTTGTAAATGCTATAACTTTCACGTAAACCAATTAATTTACACAAATTGGGATTTTTTTTAGCAAGACATGTAGCAGAATACATTTTGGCGTAAATTTATGATGAAATTAGATTTTTTTATTTTTTTTTACTGGACATGTTTAATAGCAAAAAGTAAAAAATATTGGATTTTTTTTCAAAATTGTCAGTCACTTTTTTTTTAATAGTGCAAAAAATAAAAACTGCACAGGTGATCAAAAACCACCGAAAGAAAGCTATATTTGTTGAAAAAAAAGATGTGAATTTAATTTGGGTGCAGCGATGCATGACCACGCAATTGTCAGTTAAAGTAACGCAGCGTTGTATCGCAAAAACAATGGCCTGGTCGGGAAGGGGAGTAAATCCTCTGGAGGGCAAGTTATATGCTGCAAGTACAGAAAATAACTGTTGATATGGCAGAAATATTGTGTGCTCCTATCTTTCTGTTCTGGCCAACAACACAGTGGGGGTTATTTACTAAAACCTGAGAGTTCAAAATCTGGTGTAGCTTTACACAGACACCAATCAGTTTCAAGGTTTTATTGTCAAAGCTTAATTGAACAAGCTAACGTTAGAAGCTGATTGGCTACCATGCACAGCTGCACTAGGTTCTGAGTGCACCAGTTTTAGTCTCCCCCCAGTGTCTGTTAAGATCTGAAATCCTACAAAACACATGGTGTCAGCCCTGCCTATTTAATTTCTAATGAATTACAAAGGGCACAGACCTCTCATCACCTTCTCCCTTCCCTCATCTCCTCAACACATTTTTGTGCACTGAAAGTTATTATATCACAAAATTTCTGGCTGAACCAACAAGTATTTTTATACTTATAGAACAGATATAACACAATGCTTTCAATTAAATATTTAGCAGACCAAAAGGAAGAAAATAAGAAAAGTTAATTGTTAGGGGTTATATACACTTTAAATGGTACAGTAGATAATGCATAGACATTATATTGCCAAAAGTATCGGGACACCCCTCCAAATCATTGGATTCAGGTGTTCCAATCAACTCCATGGCCATAAGTGTATATAATCAAGCACCTAGGCATGCAGACTGCTTCTACAAACATTTGTGAAAGAATGGGTCGCTCTCACAAGCTCAATGAATTCAGGCATGGTACCATGATATGTTGCCACCTGTGCAAAGTGGTAGGTAACGTAAAATGACTGAGTGGGGTCAGCACATGCTGAAGCGCACTGTGAGCAGAAGTCGCCAAGTGTCTGCACAGTCAATAGCTAAAGACCTCCAAATGTCGTGTGGCCTTCAGAGTAGCACAACAGTTTGTAGAGAGCTTCATGGAATGGGTTTCCATGGCCGAGCAGCTGCATCCAAGCCTTACATCACCAAGTGAAATGTAAAGCGTTGCATGCAGTGGTGTAAAGCACGCTGCAACTGGACTCTAGAGCACTGGAGATGTGTTCTCTGGAGTGACAAATCATGCTACTCTGTCTGGCAATCCGATGGACATGTCTGGGTTTGGCATTGGCCAGAATAGTACTTGCCTGACTGCATTGTGCCAAGTTTAAAGTTTGGTGAAGGGGGGATTGTGGTGTGCAGTTATTCTTCAGGGATGGGCTTGGCCCCTTAATTCCAGTGAAGGGAACTCTTAAGGCGTCAGCATACAAAACATTTTGGACAATTTCATGCTCCCAACTTTGTGGGAACAGTTTGGGGATGGCCTCTTCCTGTTGCAACATGACTGCGCACCAGTGCACAAAGCAAGGTCCATAAAGACATGGATGAGTTTGTTGTGGAGGAACTTGACTGGCCTGCCTAGAGTCCTGACCTCAACCTGAAAGAACACCCTTGGGTGAATTAGAGCAGAGACTGTGAGCCAGGCCTTCTAGTCTGACATCAGTGCCTGACCTGACAAATGTGCTTCTTGAAGAATGGTCAAACATTCCCATAGACACACTCCTAAACCTTGTGGACAGCCTTCCATGAAGAGTTGAAGCTGTTATAGCTGCAAAGGGTGGGCCAACTCAATATTGAACCATACGGACTAAGACTGGGATGCCATTAAAGTTCATATGCGTGTAAAGGCAGGCGTCCCAATACTTTTGGCAATATAGTGTATTTTAGAAAAGCATTATAGATGCACAATGATATAACTGTCATGTGGTTAAAACAATAACAAAAATCTAACAGGCTATCATCTTCCTTGCTCCACTTCATAAGCTCCCTACATCATTCTTGATTTTACAAACAGGGCAGTATGACAAAAGAACCAGTAACATCATCATTCCAATTGTAATAGCTTTCATGGGGCAGGACAAAGAAGCAATATAAAAAAAACAACATGAATGAAGAGACAGACACTGAAATAGGTTTAATGGGCTATAATGGCACAGTGTTTATTTCAAGGGTAACCCAAAGTTAAATAAACTTTAAATAACCTAATATAATAGGTCTAGTCTTAAAGGCAAAGACCAACCATAAATCATTTTTCAGATGACAATATCACATGGTCCATCCAGAACTAGACTGAAAGACTAACCCCTACTGAAAAACACTGTGACAAAAGGAAAATATTGAAAAGGGAGGGAAGGTGGGAGCTGCAGACTGTTGTTCCACACTGATGCTCTCTTTCCTTAGGCGGCTGCTGGAGTGGAAAAATGGCACTATTTATGTGCTGAGCACCACACCAGCCAAAAAACATCCAATGGGACAAGGAAAGGGGAGGGGAAACAGCATGCAGAGCACCCTTTGTGCTGTTCCTGGAGCCTTGCTGAATGCTAGGGGCGCTATCATTTTTTAAAGATGTCATTCTCTGCAGCCACATCTGCTGTACCACTATAGCCAGCAAACTTGCATTATGCATTTGTATAAAGCCAAAAACTATAGCTAACTATGCATTGTCTTTATCATTTCTGTACAATCTGCTTTGTACTTTCTGATCAACTTTGTAGTGTTAGAGTCTACCTAAACAATCTATTTAATTTGTATCCAGTCAATCAGGTGCTTGCTTCAGATAGTTGTTTGTAAATCTAAAAGCGATTGCACCATCAGATTGTAATATGTGTGGCCAGCATTAGGAAAAATGAACTTCCTAAAATTCACCTTGGCAATGCTAGGAGGTAGAGCCACCTGCATCCTAGCAATCAAGGACACTAGGCTGCTGGGGCTGCTTGCATCCTAGCAACCAAGGACGCTAGGCAGTTGTGGCTTTCTGTGTCCTAGCAACCAAGGACTCTAGGTGGCTAAAGCTACCTGTGTCCTAGCAATCTTGGAGGGTTGCCACCTGCATCCTAGGATAAGGAGATGAAGCAGCAGGAGTCGCCTATTTTCTAGCAACCAGTAGGTCACATTTGCACTGTACACATGTAAACTTTCTCATAAATGTTACATGTAATATAACCCCGAAAAATCTGCGCTCAGAAAGAAAAAGAATGTTGATACTTAAACAAATAGCATCTGGACACTATACCCTGATACCAGGCATTCCAAATATTGTGTAAAACAAACAGTGCAGTAGTGCTCAACCTATGAAAACCAAACTGATACTAAACAGAAAAATCCCACTCATGAGGGTTATATAATGAGTGAAAATAAATAATTAGACAGTGTTTAAAAGTCTGTAATGAAGATCAGATCAGTCCCACAAATCAGGAAACTTCCAAAATAGCCAGTGTGATACCACCCACTCGCATGCAAGGCTTACCGGAAGGATTGTGACCTCCTACTAAGAGTGGTCAATCAAAGCTCTTTAATATGGTATTGGTAACATCATGGATATAGAATGGTCCTCCAAAAACAGTCCGAAAGAGAAACAGAGATTCATTTAAACCGTCACCTAAATATTGGCTCCAGACCCTTCAATACGAATCAATAAAGTTGGAAATTGCAGTAGAATACATGCAATAGAGAAATATTTCACATAGTGTAAAAAGACCACTATTGAGAAAAATTATTAGATAAAGTTGCATATTTTCAGTATCAGTTTGGTTTTTCATAGGTTGAGCGCTGCACTGTTTGTTGTACACAATAAATGTTATATGCAGACTGTGTGCAGACAAGATTTTATTTAGGATCATACTGCCAGCAAAATCCTGCACATTTGTGCGTGAACCCTTAAAAGTCTTAGAAAACAAAAAGTTTGTTTTCTCCATATCAGTCAGAAACCATGGAGCCCCTCACTATGTGTATGTGTTGACTAGGGATGGGTTCGATGTTCGAGTCAAGCGTAAGTTTGACGTGAACATTAGCCATTCGTGTGTTCGCCGAACAAACGAATGGTAAGGACGTTTCATCGGGATACTCACCTGCCACTCCCCACATTGCACTGCACTCTCACAGTGCATTGTGATTGGCCAAAGCAATGCACCTGGCCACAGTGGTTTGGCCAACCACATCACAATTGGACAGAGCTAGCAGTGGGATCATCGCTAGCTCCGCACAATTGTATACACCTGACTGGCAAATATCAGATTGCAGAGAGTGCTCAGTGGGTGCGGCCAGGTTGGCGGGTGTTGGTTTTTTTATTTCAGTGAGTCGGTGTTGTTGTGACAATAGATTACAGTGATGGAACCATTTTTTTTTAAAATAAAGGACTTGTCAACAACTGGTTTGTTTTTTGTTTAATAAAGGAATTTTTCGGAAGTCTGGCGTCTTTACTCAATTTAACCCTTTAGTGAATTTGTAGAGGTACAAGTACCCCTTCCTCATTCACAAGAGGGGGCAGCATCAGGGTGCCCCTATATTTAAATGGTTACCCTGATGCTAATGAGCTCACCGAGCCCGCAGACCCCCCAACCACAGGGCCAGGGTTGTGGGGAAGAGGCCCTTGTCCCCGACATGGGGACACCATCTCCATGCCAAGGGCACGGGGATTGGTAAGCCAAGGGGGGGGCGCTCATTCGTCCCCCCCTTTCCGGTGATCAAGGATCTTGTAGGAATTTAGGGGGAACCCCACGCTTTTTACTCTCCATTTTATGGGGGTAGGGTTCCCCTCAAAGGTCCTACCAGACCTATAAGGCCTGGTATGGCTTTTAGGGGGAACCCTACACACTTTTTCCCCTCATTTTTGGGAGGTTGGGTTCCCTATTAAAGTCCTACTAGGCCTAAAGGGCCTTATATGGCTTTTAGGGGTAACTCCCCACCCACTTAAAAAAAAAATACTGTGGGGTCCCTTCTAACCTTCTCACCAGACCTAATGGGTCTGGTATTAATGGGGGGGGGGGGGGGGGACCCTGCACTGTTTTTTTTTTTATAAAAATTAAATTTTTAAAAAAATGTCAGTCCTGCTGCAGCAGGTTCTATACATTGTACAGCTGTGCAACTTTGCAGGTAGGTTAAGTTGACCCCCCAGGCATGATATTTAAAGGATTTTTTTTTTGTGAAAAATGACTGCCCCTCTAAAAACTGTACTTTTTTTTAACTGAATTTTGTTTTTCACTGATTCATGTTTCTTTAGAGCAGTACCCCCCATACCCCTTTTATGGCCAATAATTTACATGTAAGCCTTCAAAATGGGTACTTTTGAATTTACAAGTTCATGGTCAAACATTCATTAGGTTTGAATGTTCGACTGTGAACCAAACATGGAGGTGTCCTGCCCATCACTAGTGTTAAATGCCTCAAACTTCTAAAGTAAGCTAGCTATACATATCCATAACACAAAAGCTTTCATTCAAAAACATTTCCTCCAATTACATTGTACATCAAATACTTCATCTTATCACAGATAAAGGCAATTTTAGCTCTAGAAAACAAATACAAATTAAGTCTGTCCACATACTGCATGTCCCTAAGGCTAAGATCACACTAGCCCATGCTCTGAAAAGTGATCCGCAGTGGTTACCATGTTGAGCAACATACCTAAGCTGATTTTATGATTTCCTGCTCATATAAAAAAATAAAAGTAGAATGTGCATATAATCATTGTATTCTCTCTCTTTAGAAAAACATTTGGAGTACGTGGGTACATCCTGATGGTGCGGAGACAACAGGAGCATTGGATTTAGGTGGTGCTTCAACGCAGATATCTTTTATTCCAGAGAAGACTGAACAGAACCCAAACAACACAGTGGAAGTGACTCTGTATGGATATAAATACAATGTATACACTCATAGCTTTCAGTGCTATGGCAGAGATGAATCTGAAAAGCGTCTGCTGGCATCACTTGCTCAGGTATTAGGACATGTACATAGACATATGTTCTGCCAGAGAAAAAACTGTGCAAAGTCCTCCTAATGTTCTAAGGCGAAAGAGGAGGACACCTTTAGCTCAAAATATGCAGGCAAAGGACACACTCCTGCTATGTCCCCAGTTATGCAGACCATGAAGGATCAAAAGTGACTGGTTAGATTGGTTAGACCCTCAACCAAAGTTTTTTTCACAACTTTTTTTTCCTTTATGTGATATTTCAAAATAAATGGAATAATTTGGAGAATGGATGGAAGGTTTAGTGCGGCTTAACACTTGACCGTCAAATTGTATCTTTTTATAGAGGCCAGATATTAGAAAGAGGGACAGTTGTGTCAAATAAGGGACAGTTGGGAGCTATGGATTCATTGGCCACTTATAGGGCTAGTTCACAACAAAATGTGGTGCCAGAAAGGTGCGTTCCATGTGCATTTCTTGCACTGTATTCAAAACACACTGCCCTTGAAAATTGCTGCAGGTGTCAATACGTTATTAATGGAAAATCCAAATGCAGATCACAAATGCAGTTAGTTTATGGGCACCAGATCTCATGGCACCACAGTAACATGCAATTTGGTGTAGTGGATTTTTCAAAAGTAGTGCATGCACTACTTTTTGTGCGATTCAGTGCAATTTCAGTCCATTCATATGAATGGGCTGAAAATGGCACTGCAGGGGAATGCACAGGAATCGCACAGGAATGGGTAACACGTTCCTGTGCAATTCTGGGGTGAATCATGCAATCAAACTTGGGCTTAGGGAAACAGCTTTATTGTAAAAGACAGGGAGATAAAGACCAAATTGTATAAACCCCAGGCTGGAACTGGCTTCATGGAAATATTTTTAGAAATTCAAAGCAGGTCAGTATAATAAGTTACAGTATAGATCCATAATAGTAGAATCCCCCAAAGTGAAAGATAAGGAAATCATCTAATTCCCACACCAAAAAAATCATAGGCTTTTTGGCATACATACTCTGGACTGGATATTAAATTATTTGATTTGCAGTGATATGTGCATTGAGAAAGGAAAGACAGTAGTTAACCACTCTGAAGCTACTAACTTCCTTATTTGTATTAAAAGTGAAGTGTTCACAAATGTTTTGTAAGATCAGTTCCTGAACCGATCTGTCTGTGCCAAAAATAAGTCAGCTATTTAAACAGCCTTCTAAATCTGAGAAGTGGCAACCATTCTATGGTACAACGCAAAGAGGATCCAATCAGTGGATTTTCCATTTTTCTTGGAAATCCCTTTAATGTGTGTTATTTTCATTTTCTTTTCTAGTTGCATAATTTGTAAGGAACTGTAAATATGTTTTCCAGTATCTCATTTTAGATATCTTGACAATGAAACCATAAGTACATTTTATATATGTTTTTACTAATGTTTTGTTTCTTGTTCAGGGAATACGTGGGCAAGCCTATGTTAATAACCCATGCTATCCTCGCAACTACAAAGTGAATTTAACAATGAATCACATATTCGGAAGTCTGTGTTCAGCCAAATACCGGCCAGCCAATTACAACCCGGATCAGTTTGTTCGTTTTAAGGGGACAGGAGACCCAGGCCAGTGCCTACACAGGGTGTCCACTTTATTTAACTTCGCTGCATGTCATGGGGAACAAGACTGTTCTTTTGATGGCATTTACCAACCCAATGTAAAAGGAAAATTTTCGGTAAGAAGCATAATTATTACTGTGATATCACATATCACATTACTTTAAAACTCCTGGTAGTGTTTCTTTAGCAAGATATGAAAATGTGCATCATTTTAATACAAACATAATATCCTGCTACAGTTAAGAAGTTTTTACTATTTGTTGTGTACTTGGAATTTGAAGAGCTATGAGGATATATCATCCTCCTAGATAGGCTGCTAGGGTGTCAACTCCTTTGTGGGCGGGGAGAGTCAAATGGGGCAGCATGAATATTTATTGCGCTTCAGCAAATCCTTGGGGAAGTGGGCCCAGTAGTTGGTTAAGGAGAACATAAATACTCTGGAGTCTGGAGCAGCCATATTCTTGTCTTGCTAGAGAAGTTCCACAGCCTCAGGGGCTGCTGCCCCTCTGAGGAAGTTCCACTGGAGCTTAGTTAGTGTTCATCGAGGACACAGCTGTGGCAGAGCTGGAGGGCATATTCCTAAGTATCTTTGGAGCTAGTAAAAGGACTTCACCTAAGGATCAAGCTCACTGAAGGGTGCCCAGTGGAAGATGGAAAGGGTGCAGCTATCCTGTGGCATTGTGAGCACCAACCTCTTCCTCACTGAAGAGTGTCCGGTGGAAGCTGGGAACTGCGCAGTTGTCCTGTAACTTAGAGATGGAAACTTGGAAGTGTTCAGCTGTCCTGGGACATCGTGAGTACTGACTTAAACTCAAGATATTGGGGACTGTGTGCTGTTTGACTTTTAGGGCGATAGCTCTTAATATGACCGCTGTTACAGGATCTCCATTCTGGCTATTCTCCCTGGTCCCTGGCCTAAAGACTGTTCAAAGAAGCCTTGCCTAGTGAAGTGTGTCCTCCTGCTACGATTCAGGGTTCCTGAACTATCCTATACCACCCTAACCCCTCTCCTGTTTAAAGTTCTTCAAGCAATAAATTACAAAAAGACAAGCCCTATTGATTGAAACCTTAAATTCATGGACAGTTGCTTGGGTAATTGGCGGCCTCTGCACTGTTTGGGGAAGAACCAATTATTACTAATGGCTCCTACAGAGGTAGCACTAAAAGAAAGATGGTAAAAGTTGGAAGCAGATTGTAGACAAAGTAGACACTAGTGCTCTTATTTGTATCTCTGTGTGGCTCATTTGAACTGATTGTATTTTAGTGGGGAAAAGCTCTGTAAGGGCCAATGTCAACAGACTTTGATGGAAAAATGCAGTGTGCTTATGAATTCAGTTTAAGATACTTCTGAGATTGTTCAGATTTCATTGCAGGTGCAATTTACCTGCAGATGACCTACATTTGACCCGCTTCTGATGATTTTGCAATATCCTAGTCTTTTATGGGGAGAGAAGTGGTTTTGGCATGGACAAAAGCTCATCAACACTAGCCATAAGAGCATGTGTAAACCAGCTTTTCTTTCATGTCAGATGCAAGTCTAGGAAATGCAAAAACTGCTTGAAGCACATCAACGCTGGTTAGAAGAAGGTCAACTCAGAAGCCTCTCAGACTGATGTCAAACCAATGGCATTGACACAAGCCCAAAGTATGTCAACTCAGGCCTTAAACCTGTCCTTAAGTATTATTAAAAGAATATTGTCGCACCTTTGTGTCTGTATACCCAATCCAAAAATCAAACAATAAAAGAATAAACAATTAACACCCGCAGTATGCCAGGCTATGTGGGTTGACAGTTGCCCTTAAAAAGTGGAAAACACTTGGCTATACAAACTGGTGCCTGTCTTTTGGGCACCTATACATGTGAGTTGATAGTCGATTGTTCCTTTTTTCATGAAAAACCTTAATAAATACTACACTCAGAATACTTTATTAATTTAATTTATTTGAGCTGTGTGGAGCATTACCTTCATTGTAAGGAGAGCCAGGTGCATAAAACCCTGTTATTACTGCTACGTTTTGGAATCTTGTGAATGTTCTACTGGGGCAACACATAAGATATGGTAATAACCGGGATGGATATCGCAGGAAAGCCTGCTGCTGGTCTTCTATTTCCAATATAGCAAATGTGCTGCTTGACCACCTTAATTGGGGTCAATTACCTTTTGTGAGTGCGAAATTCACTCATTTCGTCTGCACATGGTGAAATAGTACACCTTTTTGGTTCACAGCAACATACTTCTATGGGACTGTCACTATATACATCATGATTGTTTTGTTATCACTTATATAAATGTAGGATGTATGTTATTGGCTAGATGCCATAGGAATGATGTAATATCACATCTGATTTGTTAACAGCATACGTTATAAGATGTAGAGATGCTTTGCTTTTGGATTTTTAATTTTGTTGCACGGTTGGTTTAGCGCTTACCTATTCACGTTTCTTAAACCTGTCCTTTCCTCTATCAAGCACACAAGGATGAAACCTATGGAAACAAGACAGTGATAGTAGGGTAGCAATTGACTGTTTTAAAGGCCATGAAGCAAAACATTTTTTTAACAATAAAAGTCTCTTATATGAACCATTTTCTGTGTGTTCCAATATCCACATTGGCATTAACAAGCATACTGGCAAGCACTGCAGTGATGTCAGCTGTAATAAAGAGAATTATGATGCCATGGCTCAAGATTAATGGAAGCTATTAAGTGAATGGAAATGAGTGCTATTTATGGAGAAAAATATAATCTTTTAAACAAAATAAGGAAACAGAAATTAAAAGGATATACGGAGAAAATATTTTCTGGATTTGATTGCGTCCTTTACTATGTTCCTACACCGAGGATTAGGGATGAGTGCATCTGCAGGTTGGTTCATGAGGGTTTCATTGAAATTCTCAAATCCTGAACCTAGAAGCAAATCATATTAATGTCCAGGGGAGGCAAATGTTATCAGTAAGCTTTGGCCATGTTTAGGTGTAATAGGCAAAACACTGCAAATAAAAACGACATGGGAAGTTGGGCATTGCCATCGAGGACATGTACCAATGCAAAAACAAATAATTTAAAAATACAGAATATTGGAGAAGAGGTCTTTTCATGCAGCTTTGGAGGCAATGTAAAAAATACACAAATAATTTAAATAACATGCTCGGGGGATACCTTAAAGCTGTGTAATGTGTCAAGTGTAATTTTCACAGACAGTCATAGTGACCTTGAGGTTGATTTTGCTGCCAATGCACATTGGAGTTGAGAATGTGTCCCTCTCCTCCTTCCTGTACCAGGCCATATGACTCTCAAAATGGGGGGGGGCAGTAATGTTGCAAGGGGGAGTAGTAAAATGCCCTCCCTTTCAAAGTGCCCTTGTCCCAGTGCTGAGGGACAAGGGCCTCTTCCCCATCTTTGGTGACCCAGAAATAAGGGTGGAGAAATCAATGGGGGGGGGGGGGGTTTGATGGGATGTCTGATTAACCGCAAACGGAGTAAGGGACATGAGGTTTATTGAACACAGGACCACCGTCCTTTCTCCAAACTGTGCAGCTCAGTGACAATACAATCAGATTTAAATCTATTTGTAGTGGCCAGGCAGAGAAGGACGGATTTCATATAAACTCCACTAAATGAACCAGCTTAAGCAGATCAAGCTGAATAAACAAAACTACCAATAGAATCATAAATCGTGCTTAGCCAAAATTTACACAGCTTGTCAATGAGTCCAACTGTGAATAGCTAATTGGGTGCCATAAAACCCATTAGCAGGATGTCTTTAATACAGGGATCATAAAATGCCTGTCTGGTATGTGATTCCACAATACATGTCTGTTACACTGGGATTAGTTTAATACCATTTCCATAATTAAGGCTATGACTGCACAAAGTTAGTAACAAATGTTTTAATGTATAAGAAAATACCAGTCAGTTTAAGACCAAATATGACCATGCTATAATATACAGGAGGCTAAGTGGTGACACTAAGGGGTTTATTTACTAAAGCTGGAGAGTCCAAAATCAGACTCCCTTCTGCATAGAAACCAATCAGCTTCCAGGTTTCATTGCCAAAGCTTCATTGAACAAGCTGAGGTTAGAAGCTGATTGGTTTCTATGCAGAAGAGAGTCTGATTTTGGACTCTGCAGCTTTAGTAAATAAACCCCTAAATGTCCTAAAAGATATGTACATCCAACTTATATCGTGTTTAGTCTCTTTCAAATGGTAATTTCATTCTATTCAAATATAGATGGGCTGTTGGATTGTAAAATCACATCATCTAGAAAAATTGAGATAGATAGAAAAGTGCCAATAAAGAAGGGTCCACTGAAGTATATTGAAACTACAAGAATTAAGTGCAGAGGATACCACAGTGTAAAACTAGCCAGCAGCAGGACAATGTTAATAAAGAATAACTGGTATATGTTTAACTTTTATTTTAATAATGGGGATAGGGGAGTGTACTAAATGTGAGTAATTTATTGTGATGTGGTTTAGGTACACATAACTCTTGTGCCTATTTATTTTTCTGTCATATTATGCAGTGGCCTGCTACAAACAAAAGACAGCTCTAAGAATAGCCTGATGAGCAACAAGTGAATGCTTCTTTGAGCACCTCGGGGAACCTTGTAGCAAAACAAACAAAACACCAGTAATTTAACCTAAAAAAAGGCCCTATCAAACATACAATAAAAACCAACATATTAATGTGAATGGGAGAATTTATACTATACGCTTTTTTAAAACTCTATTTATTTTACAGGCTTTTTCTGGATTTTATTATACGGCAAATGCTTTAAATCTGACCGGACATTTCTCATTAGAGGAATTCAACTCAAGTATGTCATCTTTCTGTTCTCAAGATTGGAGCAAGGTCTGTATTTTTCTCTTGGATCATAGAATGATCTGACTAATGGTGTTGTGCCGTAAATGACAGAAATTTGGTTTTATAGTTTTGTGTATTGCCATAGGGGTTGATTTACTGAAGGACTAGTGTTCCCTAGTGTTTTCTAATTGGAAGAAGTGTTGGGGTGGTGAAGTCACGCTCTTAGCCTTGTCCAGTCAGAGAATGCTTTGCATTTCTTGAGAACATACAAAGAAGTCTGAATTGAGCCTGTGCTGCAATGATCTCCTGTGTTCACAATGCAGCAGGGCAGCTGCGTGGCACATGACCCAGAAGTTAGTGAAGATCACTGTAGAAGCAGTATCTACTACAGGGACTTCCAGCTTCCAGGGGGACCGAACAGGTATCGTAATTTCATATTTACATTAGTCCAAGCTGGACCAATGTAACTATGTAAAAATATCCATATCTAGAATTCTTCTGTAAAGAAATGTGAATTATAGCAATTTGAGTTGCTCAGAAGATGCCGATAATGAATAAAATTTATTTTTTGCAGCTTCCACAACTGCTTCTAAAGTTTGATGAAAAATATGCAAGGTCCTACTGCTTTTCAGCTAAGTATATTTACTATCTACTGGTTCACGGTTATAAATTTGACAGCGAGTCTTGGCCACAGATTCAGTTTCAGAAAGAGGTAAGGTTACAGATTACTTTATACTGAAATTGCCTAAAGCTGAAGTATGGAAAAACATGATTTTTTCTATTTGCATATTAAAAATGTGTTAGCTTTAATGTGTGCCTCATCTCTGGATGCTGCAACATTTGTTACATATCTTACTTTTACTTTGGCAGCATCTGTCCAGGCCAAACATCCAGCGATGAGACGTAAAGCCCCAGCTGCATCACACTTAGTGCTCTGATCACTGTGGACTGCTTGCTCAGCACTTGCTCGGTTAATGTAAGGCTTCTGTGATTTGAGGAGGGGAGATCATGATGTTCATCTGCCCTTCCTCCAATCACAGATGCCTTACTTCTTTTCCGATGTTTTGTGGATATTTTAGCATGCATTAAAAAGCAACCACATACCACACTGATTTTTTTTTTTTTTTTTTTTGCTTTTTTTTAAGTGGGCAAGGCTATATGTCTCACTACGTCTTTATGAGACAGCTGTTGGAACTTTTGACAGGGTTGACTTGCAAGGGGTTATAATCCTTTCTTTCATTAATCAAAATGAAAAATAAAATGTCTTTAGTTCTACTTTAAACCATAAACTATCATTTTAATTTTTTTTTTTAAATAATACATCTTTTTTTTAACAGGTTGGGAACAGCAGCATTGCCTGGTCCTTGGGTTACATGCTGAGCCTCACCAATATGATCCCTGCAGAGAGACCCTTGATTCTTCTCCCTTTAAGGCCTTCAGTCTTTGCTGGACTTCTCTTCCTGTTTGCAGCAATATCTTTACTTTGTCTGATATTTCTTGTGGTACTGTTATTTCGGGCATGCTGAGGATATTAACAATGAATTCCCCAAGGACAATAAAAATGGGAGTTTGCTTAGTTATTACACATGGACACTTTGACAATCATTTGTCCTGGAAAGATGTTCAGTATTCATAGTCATGTTATCAATGTGCTGTGCCAAAAGATAGCATGTTATGGTTAGGTTTCATTGTATGGACGCACCTCAGGGATTGTTTTATGGACAATAACCGAGACTTAGGAACCTTTGTGTATGATGACTAAAACTCCATGAAAAGGCTCAATTTTATTTATGAAAACTAAGTTATGTGGTTGTCTGTCTAAAAGAGAATAAGGTCAGATGATCAATTTTAATATACTGTAATGTGCATAATTATACTGTATATGGCTGAGAGACGTTTTATGTGACTGACATTACAGATCAAATGTAATAAAGCATATTCTTTTTTTTTTCTCTTTCCGAAAACAAAGATTATGTTTTGTGACATATTTAACTTGTTACTGCCATCTTCTGTCTAAACATTTTTTAAGAGAAATGGAAAGTGAAAACAATGAATATGTAAAACAGTATGGTGGTTAGGCTTATTTGCCGGGTATGAGTTTTTACTAGTTTTTTTCTTAGAAACGTCTATTGGCTTTGAGACTGGTTACACGTTATTCTCCCAATTTCCGTATGATTTTATATCCCTTCAAAATAGGATTATGCTCTTCGGATATCTCTTTAAAGGAGATTTCAAGGCTAAAAAGAAACAAATAATCTATAAAGTGCACCATCTGTGTAACAACACAGAGGAATTATTTAAATTGCGCATTTAGCACTTTTTCTTGGGAATTCTTTTTGAAGTCACATGGTTGCTTCTTCTGTCCTTTCTGGGTTTCACAACAGGGATTTTGGGTCAGGAGTATTGGCGCTGCTACATCACTAGATACCACCATTTTCTGTTCTCCGTGACTTGGAGCCACTGTTGTCTATAAAGAGGGGCAATCAGTAATGAGTAGCAGCAATGTTGACTATGATGATGCTGCAGATGGAGTGTCCACCCTCTTCATTCCTGTGATAGTTTGTTGGAGGAAGAAGCTGCATTCTCTCTTCCTGCAACACTTTTTCTGAGTGTCTCCTTATGTTGCTTCTCCCTCTCCCAATCTGAACTCTGCTGTACAGAGACTGTAAAAGGTTGATGATACCAAGTCAAACGCATGTACTTACACTGCTTGCATTAAAAAACATACATCTAATAATGGATTTAATACAAATGCAGAGCTACAAAATTTTGTGTCTTTTATATTTGACTATTATTATTATTATTATTATTATTTTATCCAGGATTTATATAGCACCAACAGTTTGCAAAGCACTTTAAAAAATGAAGGCAGATATTACAGTTACAATACAATTAGGTACAAGAAGGATCTGAGGGCCCTGCGTGTTAGAGCTTACAATCTAAGAGGGAGGGTCAAGTAATACAAAGGGTAATAGCTGTGGGGGCTGAGCTGTTGAAGACAGTAAAAACACAATGCATTAGTTAAAACCAGGATAGGCTTCTTTAAAGAGAAGAGTTTTCAGGGACTGTCTAAAGGTGAATAGATTAGGAGACAGACAGATCAGAGTAGGGAGTTCCATAGGATGGGATAAACCCTGGAGAAGTCTTGGAGCACGCAAGGGAGGAGGTGACATGGGAACTAGAGTGCAGGAGGTCATGGGAGGACCGAAGAGAGCGGTTGGTTGGTATTTTGACGCCAGGTTAGTGATATAGCTGGGGGCCAAATTGTGGATGGCTTTGTAAGTTGTTGTTAGTACTTTAAATTGTATTTGTTGGGTGAGTGGAAGCCAGTGGAGTGATTGGCAGAGAGGGGTACAAGACACTGGCAGCAATATTCATGATGGACTGAAGGGGGGATAGCCTAAGTGAAGGTAACCAAATGAGGAGAACGTTGCAGCAATCGAGGCGAGAGATACAAGGGAGTGAATTAGAACCTTTGTGGTGTCATTAGTTAAAAAGGGGCGTATTCTGGAGATATTGTGGAGGTTGAGGCGACATGATTTGGACAGGGATTGGATGTGGGCCTGAAAGGACAGTTCAGAATCCAGGGTTACACCTAGCACCCTGGCATGTGGGGATGGGTGGATAGTTGTGTTATTGCTCTTGACCAAGAAATCTGGATGGGGCACATGGGGGAGGAAATATTATGAGCTCAGTTTTGGATGGATTGAGTTTGAGGAAGTGATGTGACATCCAGTCTGATATGTCAGTTAGTAAATCAGTGATACATGAGGAAATTGATGGGGTGAGCTGAGGGGTAGAGAGATAGATTTGTGTGTCACCAGCATAGAAATGGTATTGGAAACCATGGGAAACTATCAGCTGACCCACAGAAAACGTGTAGATCGAGAATAGGAGAGGTCCAAGGACAGAACCTTGGGGGGGCCCCAACTGTAAGAGGAATTGCAGAGGAGGAAGTATTGTTGTAAGTGACACTGAAGGTGCGGTGAGATAGGTAAGAAGCTAATAAGAGTTTTTTGAGGAGAAGGGAAAGGTCAACTGTGCCAAAGGCAGCCCAGAGGTCCAAGCGTAAGAGTACCAAATAGTGACCGTTGGTTTTAGCTGTTAGTAAATCATTTCTGAGTTTTATGAGAGCTGTTTTTGTGGAGTGTTGTGGGCAAAATCCAGACTGTAGGGATCAAGAAGGTCATTCTCAATGAGGCGGCAGCTCAGCAGGTGATAGAAGTTCAAGGAGTTTGGAGGCAAAAGGGAGAAAGGAGATGGGTCTTAGGTTGTTAAAATTGGTGGGGTCCAGTGAGGCCTTTTTAAATATGGGGTTGAATAGTGCATGTTTTAGAGAGTTGGAGAAGATGACAGTAGAAAGGGAGAGATTGAAGATATGAGTTAAAGAGTGTAGGATAGAGCCAGAGGGTGACCGTAGTATTTGCGAGGGAAGAGGGGACAAGTGGTTAGGTGGGCTTTAGAAAAAAATTATTGATTCCTCTATAGTAGCTGTGTTAAACAAGGAAAGTACTGGCTGTGCAGATGGACAAGGAGTGTAAGGTGTGAGGGAGATATCTGTACAAAAGAGATCTCATGAATTGTATCAATCTTATTTTTGAAGTAATTAGTGATCTCCTGGGCGGTGAGTGAGTTGTTGGCTAGAGGTAATGAAGAACGAAGTAGAGAGTTAAAGGTAGAAAATAGTTGATGGGCACTGCGTGGGAGGGTGTTAATGAGAGTGATAAAATAGGTCTGCTTGGCAGTGTGGATGCAGGAATTGTATTTTTGAAGAGCAGATTTATATTGGTCGAAGTCTTGCTGGGACTTATACCACAGATGCTCAAGAGTGTGCCTACATTTGAAGCATCTGGTACTGTCTGTTTGCCAGGTTTGTAGCAGTCGGGGCCTGATTCTGTGTGTAGTGAGGGGAGGGGGGGGGAGGATAACAGTGAACTGTTGTAGACAGAAGTGGCCAGGTTGGGGCAGGACAGGGCTGAGATTTTGTCATAGAGACAATTTGTTGCAGAAAAAAGAAGAGAAGGGTTAAGATGGTGAAGGTTTCGAAGGGTATCTGTTAGGTAGGTGGAAGGAAAGGAGGAGGAAGCCGAGGAGAGTGAAGATAATAAGGAAGTGATCAGAGAGAGGAAAAGGAATGTTTGTGAGCTTGCAATGAGTGCATAGGTAGGAGAATACAAGGTCAAGGCAGTTGCCATTAGAGTGAGTAGAAGTGTGTTTCCATTGTTTTAGGTCAAAAGAGGAGGTTAGGCTGAGAAGTTTAGAAGTAGCAGGAGTGTTAAGGTTAACAGGGATGCTGAAGTCTCCAAGAATGATTGTGGGAGTTTCAAAAGAGAAAAAGCAGGGTATCCAGGCAAATACTTCATCAAAGAAGCTTGATACCAGTCCAGGAGGCTGATAAATCACAGCGATTCTCAAAGAAACTGGAGAGAATAGATGAATACAGTGAGCTTCAAATGAGGAGAGGCACAGAGAAGGAGGTAAATGAAGGACCTGAAAAGTACTTTGAGGGGATAGGAGGATTCCAACTCCACCTCCCTTCCATCCACTAGGCCTGAGTCCAGCTTTAGATAGCTTGCTGTCCAGACATGTACACATGAATATTCAGTATATCTTTTGGACTCACCAACATATATGTAGTGCCAGGGACTACCAGATTGGATATACATTGGATTGCTTGTATTGGCCCCCATGCTACATAATAAGTGGTAAAAACTAGTGAAGAATCAACAGGCTTTACACACATATATACACTCACCGGCCACTTTATTAGGTACACCTTGCTAGTACCGAGTTGGACCCTCTTTCACCTTTAGAACTGCCTTAATTCTTCATGCCATAAATTCAATAAGGTGTTGGAAACATTCCTCAGAGATTTTGGTCCATGTTGACACGTTAGCATCACGCAGTTGCTGTAGATTTGTTGGCTGCACATCCATGATGCGAATCTCCCAAATCCACCACATCCCGGAGGTGCTCTATTGGATTGAGATCTGGTGACTGTGGAGGCCATTGGAGTACAGTGAACTCATTGTTTTATGTTTAAGAAGCCAGTTGGAGATGATTTGAGCTTTGTGACATGGTGCATTATCTTGCTGAAAGTAGCTTTCAGAAGATGGGTACACTCTAAAGGGATGGACATAGTCAGCAACAATACTCAGGCAGGCCATGACGCTTAAACGATGCTCAATTGGTACTAAGGGCCCAAAAGTGTGACTAGAAAATATCCCCCAGAGCATTACACCACCACTACCAGCCTGCACCATTGATACAAAGCAGGATGGATTCATGCTTTCACGTTGTTTACGCCAAATTCTGACCCTACCATCTGAATGTTGCAGCTGAAATCGAGACTCCTCAGACCTAGCAACATTTTTCCCAATCTTCTTTTGACCAATTTTTGTGAGCCTGTGCGAATTGTAGCCTCATTTGTTCTTTGCTGACAGGAGTGGTACCCAGTTTGGTCTTCCGCTGCTGTAGCCCACTGCTTCAAGGTTTGACGTGTTGTGCATTCAGAGATGGTATTCTGCATACCCTGGTTGTAAACGAGTGGTCATTTGAGTTACTGTTGCCTTTCTATCATCTCAAACCAATGCCCATTCTTCTCTGACCTCTGACATCAACAAGGCATTTTCGTCCACCCAATTGCCGATCTCTAGATATTTTCCCTTTTTCGTTTCTGTAAACCCTAGAGAAGGTTGTACATAAAAAATCCCAGTAGATCAGCAGTTTTTGAAAAAACTCAGACCAGTCCATCTGGTAGACAACCATGCCACGTTCTAGATGCCTAAATGCATTGAGCTGCTGCTATGATGTTATTGGCTGATTACACTGTTCAACAGGTAAAAAGTTTTGGGCATAAAATTAGCTTCTTACATGGGGTGCTGAAAACCCCTAAAAAATTCTATTGGCAGTTTCCATGATATATTCACCCATCTGCGTAAGCCATTCAAAATTATGATGCAACTTCAGCTGCATATTGCGCAATTGATACTGGTGACCAATAGAAAATTGCATGTATACTGAGATGATGCAATATTAGCCTTTAATTGCATCACTTCACTGCATAAAAGCTGCAGTATCTGTAGCTGATTGTAATTCGACAGCGTCTTTACATTTCGTTTTATGCTTATATAGGCTACTCAGTAATGCCTCGAACTTGTGTGAATAAAGCAGATAATTTCTGCTATATCTGCGGTGAAATAAACTTTTATCTCACAAAAAAAGGAGGATAACAGGAATGATTAAGAAAGCCTAAACTTGTATTTTGGCTGCAAGATAGGAGACCAGGACATCTCTATATATTTTGCCTTTTGTGGGACGGCACTGGAGCAATGGTTGAATGTAAAAAAGGCATCTATGCCTTTCGCTGTGCCAATGATTTGGAGAGAGCCAACAGATCATGTTAGTTTGTTACTTTTGTATGGTGCCTCCAATTGTAAAAGGGCTAAATAAGAAGAAAAAGTTATCTGACTATCCAAATATTCCATCGGCAATACGTCCAGTCCTCATGGAGAGGGGCTACCAATTCCTAAAGCACCAGTAATCCTTCGTGGTTGAGTCAAGTGAGGAAAACCTGAAGCGTGTAGTCACGTGCATCTGTAAGAGATAGCTTTCCTCGAATACAAGAGAACCATGCCACGAGAAGCAAAACCGACACAAACTGAAGACAAAACTAGTGAGAATCCTAAGTATTAAAATGATTCAACTTAGCTTATGGCTATAATTTTTCTTGGTAAATGCAATTGATGCCATTTAGGCTTTGTTATGTAGTCCAATATCACTTGCTTTATATTTTTGGAAAGACATCTATCTATATAATTATTGTGCATTATGTAGTCATTACGCCTAAGTTGAAAACTTTCCGTTTACAGAAAAACTAGAGCCAATTGACAAATTTCCATTGTTATATTTGAACTCAGAATGTGAAATTCATTAAGAAATGGATCCTTTTGTTTCCATAAAAATTTGTTGAACAGTGTTAGCAATTTGTGTGTCCATTGATACCTAATAAAGCGGCCGGTGATATATATATATATATATATATATATATATATATGTAAATATGTGAGCAAAACTGGACCCATATATTTTTCTTTCAGCTTTTTTGTTACGTTTTGCTACATGCATGAGGAAGAAAATGACTCTACTTCACATAACTCAATGGTAGCAGCACCTCAATAAAACTTGGTCTCTTACAAGTGCTCCAGAACATACAGTATGTACCAGTCTTAATGCTTCCATGCTGCACTGCAGCTGGTATGCCTGGGAGACAGGAGCCACATTGGGTCATAGCTGCTGACAGCTGTCTAGTCCCAGGTTGAGAGGTGGCTAACTCCATGACATCTTCATCCAGGATAGGTTGTACGTGTGACATCAGCACTAACCTTGTAGATACCCTAAAGGTAAACCTGGTAAAAATCACATACACTTTGCCTGGAACATGTTTTCAGCCTGGTGGTGCAGGTTTATCATTAGCCTGGCTATCAGGAGGTCCTTTGTCAGGCCAAAAGGATTTATGGCCAATTTAAGGTGATCACATATGGTCATGGCTCACCTGGCAGAAATGTAGCACCAACATCAATTACCTGCCATATGCCTCACCTGTAGCACCCCTATGCATTGGAACTCAATACTGGGCTTGTTGCAGAGACTGCACGAGCAGCAGCATGCTATCAATGACTACCATTACAATTACTATATGAGGACAGGATTCAGGGAGCTGGGGTTTTTCCACTGCATCAATAGCTCATATTTTGGCATGTATGCAGAGTTTTGGCACCTTTTAAAGAGGCAACCAAAAAGATAGGCCACAATGGATTGATACAATTCCTTTCATGTTTCTTCCGAAGCACCCACTGCATGGTCTAATAGATCAGGCACAGAAGGCACAGCTGCAGGAGGAAGAGGAGGACTTCCTGTTTTCTCAGGGCCAGTAGGGAACTTTATTTACTGACTTCATCCCTATGAGGCACAGGCAGCAGAGGGCCGAGGAGGAATACAGGAAGGAAGAGGGTTGGGGTGCTGGCAGCAAGGAGAAAATTGGGCAGGTTTCGAGGCCTGACTTTTTTTCCATCTCAAACTCTGGGTGTTGTACATGGGTGGGATGAGAATGTTGAGGACAGTGATGTCCTTTGCTGCGGGCAATTTTTGGCATATATTTTTTCATGCTCAAATGCCTGTGGAACAACCCCAGGATTCAGGTCATCAAAGGAAGAGACCACTATTGGATGTCTATCCTATTAGAACTTGGATACAAGGGTAAATGGCCGATCTCTTGCTACCATCCTATAGGGGCTCAAAATGTGGCACATTGAGGAGGCGTTGTATAGGTCCCACATTTCTTGATGGTGGCATAAAAACCTAATTTCTTAATGGTGGCACGAACCCTTCTGACCAATGTACCTCTTCTTCCTGAAAGAAGGAGCAGAGGTGGCTTCTGCCTCAGGACCACTTTTGTTAGATTTTTTTTTTTTCCACAGTCATCAAACTCAGAAGTTATGCAGCACCTGCACCACGTGATTTCTGATTCAGTTGGGTCTAGCACTGGTGCTCACACTCTTAAAGTAAGCACCTCATGGACTATTAGGCTTTGCGGCTGGAATACTGTTTGGAGTTTGCACAGTATAGACTGGACCTTCTGGCTTGCCTTGCAGCCAGTGTGCTGTCCAAGAGAGCCTTCAGCGGGAGCTTTTATTATGAATAAGCAAACCCACCTGCCCACAGAGACTATAAAATATTTGTGGCCCAGATATTACATTCCAATTTTTACAGCAAGAAAAAGGCTGCATTATCTTTCTCTAGTTTGTTCCTTAGTTGTTTAGCTGGCTCCCTGCTTGAAAGTGAAAGTAATGCCGTAGCTACATAGCTGCCAATCACTTTCATAGAGCCTCCTTCCGCCGTCTCCCCCTTTCCTCTCGTGGTTCCTGGGCTCTCCTGCTGTTACCAGAGCACGGGAACATGACCAATGGCTAGGGGAGGGAGAAAGATCGATCTCACATGCAAACAATGAAACTGGAAGTGATGTTTCTTCTGTTTTCAGATGCACATTTCCTGGCCAGTACAGCCAGGGGACACTTCTAACCAAGCCGATCTGTGGAGGGCAAGGGAGACATTGGGGTCTATTAGACCCCTAAGGTCTCCATAAAGAGTACCGTATTTTTCGCTCCATAAGACGCACCTGACCATAAGACGCGCCTAGGTGAAAAAAACAAGAAAAAAAATATTCTGAACCAATGGACTGCAGACATAGTAAAGAAAATGACCAGAGATTGCAGACACAGTGCAGGAGATGACCAGAGACTGCGGACACAGTGCAGGAGATGACCAGAGACTGCGGACATAGTGCAGGAGATGACCAGAGACTGCGGACACAGTGCAGGAGATGACCAGAGACTGCAGACATAGTACAGGGAATGACCAGAGACTGCGGACACAGAGCAGGAGATGACCAGAGACTGTGGACACAGTACAGGAGATGACCAGAGACTGCAGATGTACTACAGGAGATGACCAGAGACTGTGGACATAGTACAGGAGATGACCAGAGACTGCGGACACAGTACAGGAGATGACCAGAGACTGCAGACAGTACAGGGGATGACCAGAGACTGCAGACAGTACAGGGGATGACCAGAGACTGCAGACAGTACAGGGAATGACAAGAGACTGCAGACAGTACAGGGGATGACAAGAGACTGCAGACAGTACAGGGGATGACAGGAGACTGCAGACAGTAGAGGGGATGACAGGAGACTGCAGACAGTACAGGGGGTGACAAGAGACTGTGGACCTTTGGGGAGGGAGGGGGAGCAGGTACCTTTGAATTTGAATTGTCCTCCCTTTAGTGTGGGCACCCGGCTGACAGCCATGTGTCCACTGTGCATACACGAGAAGCACTGCGCTTATGAATGGCCCAGCGCTTGTGAATGGCCCGGCGTTTTCTGGGACACATCACAGGTCCCAGAAGTCGCCGGGCCATTCACAAAGTGCAGCGCTTCACGCGCATGCGCAGTGGGCACCATGCTGTCACAGCCGGGTGCCCACACTAAAGATGCCAGCATGGGAAGACTGTACAGCACTGGACCGAGGAACAAGTAAGGTCCTGCTGCAGAGAAGAGCTGAGCGGCCGGCCCGGTATTCTGACACGGTGGCGGCGGCAGAAATACCGGACCGGCCACTCCATATTTGCTCCATAAGACGCACTGACATTTTCCCCCCTTTTTTGGAGCGAAAAATATGGTACCTGTCACCTGCCCACTGCTGTCACATAAGAGTTTATTAGCCCCTTTTGATAGCAATCAAGTAAAAATAAATAAGAAATTAAATAAAAAAGGTTTAAAAAATAAAATTAAAAAATAAAATTATAATAAAATATAATAATATAATAAAAAATTATAATAAAATGAAAACTAATACAGTCAGTAGAAATAAGCTTCGGATTCAGACAGAACTAGAATTCACTCTATATTTTGCCTATTTGAGAACAGAAAGTAATACATTTAGCACTTGTATTACTACGGCTGCTAAATATGACAGCTTCGTGGTTTTTAGAGAGCTGGATTTCTAGTAATCAGTGACTCAGCTCAATCAGCTGTCAGCCAGGGATTTCCCTCTCTACACTGATAACTAACTGATTGTTAAAAAATGTATTAAAATACACTGTATGTAATGTTTTATCTATACAATATATACACTATATTGCCAAAAGTATAGGGACACCCCTCCAAATCATTGGGCTCAGGTGTTCCAATCACATCCAAGGCCAAAGGTGTATAAAATCAAGCACCTAGGCATGCAAACTACTACAAACATTTGTGAAAGAATGAGTCGCTTTTAGGAGCTCAGTGAATTAAAACATGGTATTGTGATATGTTGCCACCCGTGCAATAAGTCTATCCATGAAATTTCATGCTACTAAATATTTCATGGTCAACTGTTAGTGGTATTATAACAAAGTGGAAGCAACTGGGAACAACAGCATGAAGTGGTGGTAGTGAGAGAGCAGGGTCAGCACATGCTGAAGCGCCCAGTGCACAGAAGTCGCCAACTGTCTGCACAGTCAATAGCTAAACACCTTCAAACTTTGTGTGTCCTTCAGATTAGCTAGCACAACAACAGTGCATAGAGAGCTTCATGGAATGGGTTTCCATGGCTGAGCAGCTGCATCCAAGCCTTACATCATCGAGTGCAATGCAAAGCGTCAGATGCAGTGGTGTAAAGCACGCCACCACTGGACTCTAGAGCAGTGGAGATATGTTCTCTGGAGTGACGAATCACACTTCTCTGTCTGCCAGTCCAATAGACATGTCTGGGTTTGGCGGTTGCCAGGAGAACGGTATTTGCCTGACTGCATTGTGCCAACTGTAAAGTTTGGTAGAGGGGGGGGGATTATAGTGTGGGGATGTTTTACAGGGGTTGGACTTGGCCCCTTAGTTCCAGTGAAGAAAACTCTTACGGCGTCAGCATACCAAGACATTTTGGACAATTTCATGCGCCCACTTTGTGGGAACAGTGTGGGATGGCCCCTTCCTGTTCCAACATGACTGCGCACCAGTGCACAAAGCAAGATCCATAAAGACATGGTTGAGCAAGTCCTGACCTCAACCTGACAGAACACCTTTAGGATGAATTAGAGCGGAGACTGTGAGCCAGGTCTTCTCGTCCAACATCAGTGCTTGAACTCACAAATGTGCTTTTGGAAGAATGGCAAAACATTCCCATAGAAACGCTCCTAAACCTTGTGGATAGCCTTCCCAGAAGAGTTGAAGCTGTTATAGCTGCAAATGGTGGGCCAACTCAATATTGAACCCTACGGACTAAGACTGGGATGCCATTAAAGTTCATGCGTGTGTAAAGGCAGGCATCCCAATACTTTTGGCAATATAGTATATATATATATATATATATATATATATATATATATATATATATCTCTGTGTAAATGTTGGCCTACTTTCAACTAATGAAATTGTCCATGTATTCATGTACATGCATTAAAATACATGGAAAGATGGATAAAAATGTTGACTACAAGCATAAAATCCTGTCCTAGAAATGATGAAGCAAAAAGTGCAATGTCAATGGACCTTATGCTATGTATATGTAATTAATATAAACTGGAAATGTAGTCTTAGAAAAAAAAAATAAGGCTAAAAATAGGACAGCCTACCTATATGTTATTAGACTGTACAGTATGTGTGACAAGGATGGCTTAAAAAGCAGAGGAGAATTGGATCTATAAAAAGAAAGTGCATAGTAGAAGACCTTTAATAAAAGGTTTCCATACCTTTATTAAATCCATAAGGATGAAATGTCTCCAATGTAGGCATGTTCCTTGACTGGCCACAAGCCTTCAGGCATTTACCTTTGAGAATTTGCATCCTGACTCTGTTATTCTAGTGTCTGAGTTTAGGGTTTTATTCCTGTCTGTACCGCACTCTCTGAAGTCCCTGTCTGTGCCAATATCTCCTAAAAGATACAGTGATGGTTGTGTTACTAACTGATATAGATCACGGTCTGGGACATCATATAGTTGCTCAATGTTGTTTATAGGCTCACACATTCTAAGACCTATCACACCTCCAAGTTTTCCCTTCTGTTGAAATACTACTTTTGGCCCTAACCTCAGTTGTAAGCACCTGAAGAAATACAAAATAGAGTGCAGTGTGAGCCTGCTATGCAGATTTGGGTTTAGAAGGTTGTTGCAGCTACTGTGCTGTGTGTGTTTTATGTGCATGCCCTGTCATTTCCTATGGGCCCTCAACAAGTCTCTACACATAATAAACCATGTGAAACTTTTTTCAATAATAAATTACACATACACCTAGGCATTCATTTTTTTTTAATAACGATTGTGCCCAATATCTGATGGTATCATCCTGGCTAGCTAGTTTGATCTTAGCTATGTTTTGTAAATTAAAGCTGATCTCCAGGTCAACTGCTATATACACAAACGAAAAATACCCTCCTCAAAAAAATTAAAGGAACACTTTTTAATCAGAGTATAGCATCAAGTCAATTAAACTCCTGGTATATTGATCTGGTCAGTTAAGGGGGTTGTTAATCAGTTTCAGCTGCTTTGGTGTTAATGAAATAAACAACAGGTGCACTAGATGGGCAACAATGAGAGGACCCCCAAAACAGGAATGGTTTTACAGGTGCAGCCACTGACATTTTTTTTCCCTACTCATCTTTTCTGACTGTTTTTCAGTAGTTTTACATTTGGCTAGGGTCAATGTCACTACTGGTAGCATGAGGTGATACTTGGACCCTACATAAGTTGCACAGCAGTCCAACTCCTCCATGATGGCATATCAATACGTGCCATTGCCAGAAGGTTTTCTGTGTCTTCCAGAACAGTCTCAAGAGCATGGAGGAGATTCCAGGAGACAGGCTGTTACTCTAGGAGAGCTGGACAGGGACATAGAAGGTGCTTAACCCATCAGCAAGACCGGTATCTGCTCCTTTGAGCAAGGAGGAATAGGATGAGCACAGCCAGAGCCCTACAAAATGACCTCCAGCAGGCCACTGGTGTAAATGTCTCTGACCAAACAGTCAGAAACAGACTACATGAGGGTGGCCTGAGGGCCGTCCTCTAATGGGCCCTGTGCTCACTGCCCAGCACCATAGCGCTCGATTGGCATTTACCATTGAACACCAGAATTGGCAGGTCCGCCACTGGCGCTCTGTGCATTTCACAGATGAGAGCAGGTTCACCCTGAGCACATGCGACATACGTGAAAGGGTCTGGAGAAGCCGTGGAGAACGTTATGCTGCCTGCAACATTGTTCAGTATGACCGTTTTGGTGGTGGGTCAGTGATGGTCAGGGGAGGCATATCCATAGAGGGACACACAGACCTCTACAGGCTAGAAATAGCACCCTGACCGCCAATAGGTATCAGGAGGAAAATCCTTGGACCCATTGTCAGATCCTACACTGATGCAGTGGGTCCTGAGTGTGATGGTGGGTGACATCAGACCTCAGCCCCTCTCACCAACTTGTGACCGAAGGACCAGCCAATCCCAAACCGCGCTGTCACTTACGTAACAATGTAACTCTCAGCTGCGCCCTGCACAAAGATTTTCCAGCTCGCTGGACCACAATCTATGTGCCAGCAGCCTGAGAGCGATTGTTACTGGGTCAGGTTAATTACGCAATTAACCCTTCACACACTGCCACCACCACCTTTTTACAGAGAAGGAGGAAACTCACAAATCTTAGCAGTAACACTATTGATATTAGAATAAGCGTCTGTAATACACACTGCCACCGCAGACAGATGTATTCAGAGGGTTATACATACAGTAGCACTCTCCAGAGACAGAGATTCTTAGTTTGCATTAAAAGTTTTAGAGACAATTTCAACACTTTTCAGAAAAAAGGATTTATTACTAAAAAGGTCAAAATGGTGCAATTAAAATATTTACAGAAAAAATGTAACATATATGTAATATATATATATATATAAAGAGAGCAATAAAACAACAGAGAAATAAAAGCAAGAAGTTTCAGAAGGTAGGATACTTGCAAAAGTCCTTGGTTCGAGCAGAGTCCAAACGTCCGAACAAAAAGGTTGCCTTTCTCCCAAAGATGTTCCTGATGTTAAAAGGGGGAGATCTCTTACCTTTCTCCAGGCATGTCAGCCTTTTTTATAGTATCCCAAAGGGGTGTCTCCTGAAAGCAAAGAGCCAATCGCCTCATTTGGGGGTGAGAGTTAACCGGGGACCCAGGTTATGCCCAAATCCTTTACCAGTTCATACTATGGTCAATAACCTTCAACAGGTACAAGTAGCATCCTAGCAACTGGCAGATTAATATGTAGAATCATATTCCGAACGTCCAGATACCAAATATGGCATATCCTGCCACTCCGGATAAAAATATATTGCTTTCTACCCTCTTGTAGATGCTACATAGGGATGTAAGGTGTCATGTGACTCGTATTAAAATGACCTATCTGAATATATACTTTATATCAATGTGCTCTAGTTCCTGCTGAAGTTTATGAATTTGTATGAAAAATTACTCGTGTGGGATGCACGTTTTTATGGCCCCTGCTGTAATGCTTACCAGTCAAGTGACCGACTGAGTTATGGTTTTACGACCGGGCCATGGAAAGTGTTTGTCAGACACTCTGGCACCAGGCTTAATTAGGAATTACAACCATGAAGTTTTTCCAGCCGTGCATTATGCACTTGTGACCTCAGTTCACATACAGACCACTTTCCATTCAA